AAGATAATTTCAATTTAGCACTGACCGATTTTGTTGGCGTCCACTTTTGTTGTATTTCGGGATTTCTGGCTCTTCGGCACTAAGTACAAAAGACAGAAAGTAATTTGTATAATATTGGTTAGTTTGGGTTTTGAAATCATGGTAAAAAAGAGTTGAAAAAATGGCAGGCAAATATTATAAGTATTGACCAAACTTATTGCGCATATGCCGCATATACTGCACAACTCTACGCCACTATATGTATAAAATATTTTAGTAAATATCACAACTGTTTTCTGTTATCATATTTGTTATACCAAGTGATGCATTGCCGAACGGAACGTAGGAAATCGCATGCAAATTTTTAGGTGGTCTCCCGTTCATTTTATGGAAAAGTTGTAATACATTTTTTTTAAGGGAACGGTATGATTAACTCATGTGCTGAGTTTGAATAAATTTTGATAAGCCAATCTTGAGTTATTGAATATTAGCGAATATAAAACTTGACGACGTCAAGCTGGGCAATGACATATCAAATAAAGGCTAGTTTGCCTCATTCAAAATAAACTAAGTATTTAGATAAATCATTATGTTTTTCTTAGGATCAAAGTCCACTCGGTTCTTAAGACCTCCTTGTCCCTTAAAACGTTCTTGGAATGAATTTAATTTAAAAGACTGTTTAGGCAACAAGCAAGTTTCAAGGAACGACTATAAAATCGAACCTCAAGTAGTTTATAAAAAATAATAAACAAACAAAACATGGCTAAAAAGAAACATTATTTAAAATAAACATTATTTAATTAAATATTCAAACAACCAGTTAAACATTAAACAAACATTAACAGTTAAACAATATCCTAAGCGATGTGAAATCCTGTCAAATTCTAAGGAAATAGCGTTTTGTAACTGGTTAAGATATTCAAAATTCACATATTTATAGACGACACAATATAAGTGACCTCGCAGATTGGCGACAGATCTTATGGCCAGAGGATTCGGTATCTTAGGCCAGTAATATTTCCGTTAAACTTTTCCGTTAATACTGGAATTATAGGCGGGACAACCACCTGGTACCAGATATCCCGATCTTCACGAACAACTTCTCTACTTCGGGTTCAATTTGATTTTGTAATAAGTCCAAATAGGTTTCTGAAGTGAATTTATAGTCCATAAAAAATGGCTCAACAATGGCATAACATTTGTTTTTTGAGGATATTGGCTGCGAGTATAACAAAACGATATTCATTGGCTTGGCTTCAGTACCGACAGTTTTGAATATTTGGTTCGTTGTTGAGTGTGAATGTACATTCATGAGCGAAACATTTTTTTTTTAATTCATTATTTGCAATTTTAATCATTTCAAAACAAAATCCTATCCTCCATTCTTCATCGTCTGTCAGGAGATCTTGGTGCTTTTCGTATTTATAGGAAAAATATTTATGTTTTTTTAATGTGCACAACACTGCGGTTTCATGTTTATTTGCATCATTTTGTTTTCCTCAACATGCAGTAAAGTCTCTCTTGTCCCTTTCTTCTGCTTATAGACATTTTCAGCTGAACATTTGCAGTTATTTATTGCGGTGCCTTTGCACTCGTACTGGGTAATAATACGTTTAATTGTTGAAATCGAAGGTATAGTTTTAGCGGGAAAATAAACTGAGAAAATATTTATACACTGCTCTAAGACTGTTTAATACCACATAATTATAATAATAATAATTAAAGCGCGTTTAATAACGTATAACAATCCCAAATAAAAATATTGTTACTCTCACGAATTTTTGTGTTGGCATTGTCAACGTGTAGCGCAGGTACTTTCGAAAATTCGATTTCATCGATTTTCGAAAGCAACAAGTCTATGCAAGTTCGCGAAGCTCTGAGACAAAAATTTTTACTGCGCGTATTTACGCAATTTTATAAACACATGTAATATTTTTTTTACTTTATAACAAGTGTGTTTATATTATAATATAATGCAAGTAAGTAGATACTATCAGTGTATGCTGAGATCCGTTATCGTGGACCCCCATTTTCATTTCACGGACCCTCAATTTTTTTTTCGCTGACCTCCACTCCTTGCAGGTGGTCATAGATCCCTCGGGATCGATATAAACCACTTTCGGAATCCCTGGATTAGATAGTTGATTTGTGTTGAATCGAGTACTATTTTGGTATTGGGCATAAATATTTTTCACTTTAATCAAAATTTACTCCTTAAAAAGTTGAATATGAATGTCATACCACGAGTATTGATTCTCACGAATTTCACAAATCGTTCTTGTTGAGGTTAGATCATTTAGGTAACATCGCAACAAGGCGATCTATAAAAAAATAAACAATTGTTATAAACGAATCTGCAAAGCGCGAATACTTGTGAATGTGGCAAACTGTTGTTAAACCAAGGCTAACAAGTTTTCGCGACTCAATTGTTTATGTGGTCTGGGCGCGATTTCTATAGACGGAAGGAAAGTGTTTTTGTCGCCCTTTCCCATTGTTTTGACGCGATATATATTTGATACGTTTAAATTCCCGACCCCCTAACGATACGGGTCGGCCTCACTGAATACTTTACTCGCTTCGACCGGGTTGGAAAGGTTTTTGTATTAAATTACGCACGCATAAGTGTAACGTAATATATAACGGTGCCGTTTCGGTACAGTTCGCAAATTCACTCACTTTTTATACTAAAAGCATTTATTACGCAATCATTTTAATTTCACAGCATGTGCCTAACCCACATCTGCGAATTTTAGTACGAACTGCTTCTAGGTCAGTGGTCAAGCAGTTTAAAAAGATAAAGAATAACGAAGGCATGGAAAGCTTGCGGTTATACATTCCTTTGCATGCGTAAACGGAAATGATTCAATACGACAATTATACAGTGTGTTTCAGAATTCGATGCATATTATGCCTAGCGACTATTTCATTATCATGTGTTTACATTTATCTACAGAACTTTGAAAACATGCCAGCCTAGGTCAGAAATGTAGAATTTTTTTTGTACTTTGGCCCAAAATACTGGAATGAACTTCTGTCAAGTGCGAAACATATGCATAAACAACGATTGTTGTAAAAATGTCTTCGTTTGGTGTCCACAGAGTTTAAATTATTCAAACATATCTAATATTTGTGGGTGCCTTGCTATTCGTTGCACTCTTCTGCTTTTTCCCTTGTGATAAATAAATAACGTTAGTATAAAAAATTAAAAACTTCACGATGATTTTAGTCCGGGTACATAAAGGAAAGTGCTGGTTTTCAATTTTGATTTGATTTAAAAAGTTATCAAATCTCGATTTACCATAATTTAAGAAATAAATATCAACTAGATCACCCGCTCGGGCGCAACTGAAAGGAATAATTTTATTTTAATTACACAAAAAAAAAAGATCATTATGACGACAGATGAGGGTGGCAAGTTTTGTTAAAATCAGTTAAAACTTTTTTGAGTAATTAATAATCTACGGATTTTAACTATATCGCACTATAGGAACTTTAGGATAAAGTAGGACCCTCTGACCGAGTTACCTGGGAATTGCCTTACTTAAATATTCCGTCAAATTTTAGGGCCAGTTATAGTTGACTAATTGGCTCAAAGTGTTTTAATAGAGTCTGGAAAGCTGTAATCGTCTAAAGCGGCAGTAAATGAATATAAAGTAGTTAATTTATTATGTGGAAGATAGAGTAATAATAAAGGACATAAATTCTGTGGAATCAGATGACAACCTTTGAACTCATGCAAACTTTAAAACTATCGTTTGTTTTTAAATTCACGTGCAAAATGTTTGTGCATTTAAAGACGGACTATGGTTTAAATCCAGAAATAGAAAAGAACAGTAGTCAATGTATATTTTTATTATAAGTTTTTCCTCTGCGAAGTTAATAAAACGACAGTTTATAAAATAGAATACATAAATATCAACACTTTAATAAGGATAAAACAAAAAAAGGACGTAGGAGAAACTCCTTGAAACTGCCCTAGGCAGACCGTAACAACGGACTCAGAACACTAAAAAAATGTTCCAAAATTTCCATTTGTTTTTTCTATTTTAAATTCGTAAAAATTAAAAATAGGCTCATCATTTTTATGGCTGATACATATACATAAGCATTTTTTAAATTGTTGATGATTTTGAAGAAAAAAACGAATATGTACATTTTTGGGTCGTTTTCAAACAGAAGGCAATATTTAGAAACGGAAACTGCTTTCTATAAAAACACATATTCTTGGCCTGTATTTGTTTGTATTTTGATAATACAAATTTTTGCAATAGTACAATTTGCATTTTGGTATACCAGTGAAATTTTCGTATAAATTATATGAAACATACGCTATTCTTCGATGCTGATACCTATTTAATCTGCTGAAAGTCCCATTGTTTATGACATTGCAATAAATGATAGATAATTAAGTACAACAGCTATAACTCACAATAACTCGAACTTAAACACGTTTTACGCTTTTATAGCATATTGTGATTTTTAATACTAGAGTAAATTTTTCTTGTAGTAAAGTTCTTACTCTAAGTGCCAGATGAAATTTTGCAATCACCAATTATTTATATGACGAAACCTACAAAGCTCTTATTTCTGTCGAAAGCAATTAAACTATTGTTTGTAAACTATAAGTTGGACAGCAATCTTCAACATGTTGATTGTTTAAAAGTTTTACGACCCTCGATTTAAGTAGTAGAAAGTTATATTATTATTATTAATTAATTATTAATTATTATTATTAATTAATTATTAATTATTATTATTAATTAATTATTAATTATTATTATTAATTAATTATTAATTATTATTATTAATTAATTATTAATTATTATTATTAATTAATTATTAATTATTATTATTAATTAATTATTAATTATTATTATTAATTAATTATTATTATTAATTAATTATTATATATATATATATATATATATATATATATATATATATATATATATATATATATATATATATATATATATATATATATATATATATATATATATTAACTGGAACGTTTCTTGCAGAACTACAAGGAAAAGGATGCAGGGAAGGTGGTTGTTTACACTACCACAATGGGAATAATCAGAGAAACTTATCAGGCTTGCACAAAAGTCAAGCAGATAATGAGGACGCACTTGGTCAAATTTGAAGAACGAGATGTTTTTATGAGCACCGAATATCAGACTGAAATTAGGGAACGAATGCAATGTGATCACATTTTAGTGCCACAAGTATACGTCGATGGTCAACATATTGGGGTAAGTACTGTTAAAGCGATTTACATGAAGGTTGATTTGGGAACTTACTCTAGGAGTTTTGTTATATGTTTAAGTGGAACTTACTCTCACTCATAACAAAGGAGCAATTTTATTCTATTCTATTCAATCTGATCTGAATCATTTTTTCCTTTTTCTAAATTTATAGAAATTTTGTTAGACTGAGAGTTAAGGTACAATTAAGTATTTATCAATGATAATGATGCTCATTTTTAATTACATTTCCGTATTCATTCATTCATATGTCAAACACTAATCTAGTGCATTATAATACCAGGCAGGCAGGAGTTTTCGCTCTCTCCTTTTTTGAGACTCGAAGTAATAAGATCAATGTTACGTTTTTTAATGTTTCATCAAATAAAATTAAAGTTTAAGGAACAAATCAATTTTCGTCAGAGAATCTATTGTATATACATCATAATATATTTTGATTTGTTATCCATTTTTTCTTTCTTTCTAATAGGCGATCTTTATTATATTTATTTTATTAATTATTGCTTCGCCGCTTTAAAGCAAACATAAGTTTCGAAGAATTTTTTTATATGTTTTTTAAACATTTTCTCCATACCCTAGCGAAAGACTCTCCGCACTATATATTGGAGCAGTTGATCTTTTCGATAACTGCTTGAATACTTTAATCTCAAATCACAAATACGGTGTGTGGGTGGTAATATCGCTTAATATTCGAAATGCAAAAGTTTGATATCACGATGATTGCCACGTGACTTTTACTGGTTCATTAAAATGGATAGCTAGTTTCGAGTTTCAGCAGCCACGAACTACTAACCGCCTCAGATTCCCTTACGCAAGCAAAAAACGCATTCGGGTTTGAATAGTTTATTGAGTGGTCGCTCCTCAGTTTTTTGTTTCGTATAAGTCTTTTGCATACCGCAAGATATCTACCATTTTTCCATCAACAAATATTTTACAATTATAATAATTATAATAATACAGGTTGAACAAAGATTGAAGCAAGTATTTTCAAATAAAGAGACGAATTATTTTCCTTTGAAACAACTGATATACTGTACCTACGTTTTTATCAAATTTATTATACTAGAGAATTGCATTAACCACAGGGTCTGAGCAGCATTTATACATATCTGTTATTTCTTAAGAGTGACTGATAAGGTTGCCGTGATCCATCCACGCTATCCAAGTATTACACTCATAGGATGATTTTCTCTCAAGACTGTTTGGTGCCTAGCACACATAATGGTTATTTGCAATAAGTATGGATTGTTTGTAACCCTTTATATTTTAGTGGTAATGGACTTTTAAGCTCAGTGAAGCTCCGGTGTCGTGATGGAAAGTTGCGTAAATGAATCTCTAGCTCTGAACGTCTGAAAACATGTCAACAAAACTACAGCTCGAATTATCCTGCTTATATCCTGCTAGCCAGGTTTTCGTGACCGCGAATATATCAGTCACAACCACAAACTGACTTATACAGCTCATACCCCTAACGCTACATCTGTTGATCTCTACAGAGTTACCTTCAAATACCTTTTCCTTGTCGCATCCTTACGGCCCACTCTAACTCTACACACGAGCACGTGGTCTGGCACTGAACACACAATGTTCTAGGAAGGAAATATTCAAATCAAAAACTATGACTTTCCTAAAATACTTGCTACAATGAAATTGGAAAAGTGGCCATCATTAAAAACAAAATCCAGTTCTGAAACAGCTGGAAATACCTCCACCGAAAGGAATAAAGCTAAAAAAATTCTTTCCATTATTTTTAAAAACGATCAAGGCGATGTTTAATTCGTGACCGACAATTTCTTTTCAAGCCTAGCTCTAATTTTTGTTGAAGACTGTTCTTGATTGACGGCCCGTTGTTATTATAATACTTGAGATTTAATTCTGCTGGATGGCAAATGAAAGAAATTGATTTTTCCGAAACGGATTTTCGCGACGTATACAAAGTTTAATGCGCAATATTCTTACCGATGTTTTTGGCAGTTCGGCTGCTGCAAATTAAGTGATTGTTGTTAATGAAGGGCGGCCTAATGAAGAAAGTAATGGCTTCGGTTTTAACTTTGGAATTTTCGACGGTTTAAGACGGAGCTTTCGGTTTGATAAGCTGAAACGAATGAGCAAACACTGCCAACGAATTAATTAGAATACATTACGAATATTAATATAATTAGTATGAAGACGTATTATGACTGAGAGGTGACTGTGGTCGAGAAAATACTAGTTTGGTCGGTATGCAACCTAAAGTACATAACAAAAAGATTTGCTGGATATGCTACAATTTGTGGTTTTGTCTTTGAACCGCTAAATATTTCATGCTACATAAATTATAATAAAATTACTATAATGTATTTCCATAATCTTTTTATTTGAAAATTATAGCAAAATTTTGAATTCTTGTTAATCAGAAGTTGAACTAATATTTTTTTACCTTTTTTTTTTCATATTTCCATTATTAGTACACATAAAGCAAATTCCTTTTTGTTCTAGGTTTTATTAGCTAGGTTTATTATATTTTGAACTCATATTTATATGAAATCAATGCAGTACATTTTGTTTTTAAAATTTACCGCAAGGGGAAGATTTCTTAGCTTTCATTTAGAAATTCGTGTGTTGTTTAATAGCTTTTTAGTAATAGTAATAGTAATCATCTGTCATTATGCCGTTACAACGCTGCCTTGTATAGTATTTTCTGGTTACAAATAATCTAATTGTAATACATCAATTGCGCCAGTTAAAATGAACACCCGGTATACCATTTTTTGTCTAAATCTGTAATAAAATGTTTTTAGTAGTTTTAATTACAACATATGCATAAGTGAGCAAGATCTGGTCATTTGCTTTTTTATTTTCTACACTCATTATTTGGGATTTTCACTAAATTTCTTGATAGCTAGTATTAAATTTGGTTACATTTTAGGAAAACGAAAGCTTTTAATTTGTATTTTCCAAGAGCAAAAAAGGAAAAAAAGTCATGTCATTTAGTTTTGAAAAAAATAAAAAGTGTTTCTGTGTTTATGTTTACAAACAAACAGTGTGAATATGTGTGAATATCTTATCAGAAGGCAACCTTCCGATAAAATGGTAACCATGCTTAGACAACATCTAATATTATACAAGAACGTGAACTGATAGAGTTGACCGCTTTAGATAAAAAATATCTTGGTACAAACACTTCTACAAGGGCATTGGAAATCAAACACCGAAGTACCTAGAACAACGAACCATAATTATGGAAATTTGAACCAACCTAGAAAGTTTAGGGTCGCAGCTGATGTGTTTAAGTGTGGATCTTGCGCTACACCACAACATCTTTGCAGTTAGTTGCATTGAATGAACTTTTTGCTGTCGAATAGATAGCAAACATGTTATAATTTATTGGCCACCTCTAGCGGCACACCTTGCGATATTTTTCTATAGGAAAACTAATATCAGCGCTTCGCCAAGCTTTCAGCTGCGATAAACAGAAAGATGCCGTGTATGTCGTCAACTGAATATCCACTTTGAAATTCCGTTGTAATACGCGGCAAGTTCCTTTCTTAAATAAAGAACATTTTAAACTTTTCTTTTATTTGGTCGAAACCCACTTTGATACCACAAATTATTGATATTATTTGGCATGACTTTCTGATTTTATAGACACAAAATAATAGCCTATTATGGCATTTTCTTTGAAACGGTAAATATCGCAAAAATTAAAAATTAAAATATACAATAATACTAAGACTAATAAGACAAACAGCATGGTCACAACAAAACACCAATTTTCTGCTATATCTCGAAAACCAATTGCAGTTTGATACTGGCATTTATCTAGCGGATTCATCCCGAATAATAGTAAAAATAAGTCATCCTCAAAAAAATCGAACTTTTCACAAATAGAAAATTACGACGACATTTTCAAAATGCATGCTTTTGAGAATGACCCTGTTACTCTCAATCGGGTTGACGTATCAAGTTGAGGTTTTCGTATTTCAAGTTTTCTCAAAAATCGAGCCCGAAACATCTCTAATAATATCCCGATATTTATGCTAAATACAGCTTTAGAACCGGTACCATAAAAATTATCCGAAAACCTGCGGCATTATTTTAAATCTTCCCTAAAGCCCCTGGCGTATTTAAACGTGTACTCGGCAGTTAATGTAATTATTAACGGCGACAGCAGTTGCGTATGTAAATGCGGTTGCAATAATTTGCGATACGAATCCCTCGTTTACACGGTGCTTAAATGCATTAATTCTAGTTCTGATAATTATATCGGTCATGGAACATAATCGTCGGCAACGAATATATCCTTATTTATTTCTAAAAAGCGGCGATATTGTGCAATCTCTGGATAGATGGCAGACCGAGACGATAAATTAAAGTACAAAATTGGTTTTAATTGCATTCAATTTTTCAAACCAATGCTATGAAAGTGCGAGCTTTTCCCTCACGTAAAGCATTCTAGTAGCGAAGCTATACAGGATTGTCCTCAGATCTATGTGAAATAAAACATTCATTCGTACGTAATCGACCACTCGAAATTAATAAGAGCTTTATCATCATTGCGTTTCATTTAAGCGTTCCATTGAAACCTGGTAGCGTCTAGTAATAAAAGAGGGAACATTTTAACGTCAATTGGTAAATCGGTCCATAAGTTTGCAATTGCAGTGGATTTTCCCTTGAAACGTAAAATTTAATTTTAGGGATGCGACACAGATATATGGACTTACATATATTTGAGCATTAAAAAAATCGATCGGCACTAGGAACAAACTGTGATGATTATTTTCCTATAAAAATGGTTCAGTTATATGTCATACACATTTCCAAAAAATAAGTTAAACAGTAACTTCAGATTAAAAATTCGAAGTTTTTGAAATAATTAATCAGATAAATCGTGCCTGATTTACAAAAAAAAGTGGTTTGGTTTAAATGGAAAATTTCGCAAAAAGTAAAGTACAAAGTTTCCAGATGGAAAAAACCAATCTTATATATATATTTTTTTCCGCGGTGAA